ATGGGAAGACAAAGAAGCAGCCTAGTTCCCTTTTATAGCAGCTAAGAGCACACACATTGTCTGGCTGATGTGCTCATGAAAACACAACCTAAGCCATGTGCTTCCTTTTCTCTTTCCCTTTTTTTCATTTGTCTGGTCCTCCAGATGAGGTCCTGGTTCTGGATGTGTTGATCTCATCCACACTTCCATTTTATCCCATCTAGCTCAACCAACACATCCCAATATTTTTTCTTGTGCATTTCAATATGAACATTGAACTACATATTTTCAGGTAGATTTCATACTTTCCCCAAAGGAATTTCGTGTTTCCTCAGGTATCAAGGGGACTGTGAAAAATAAATACAGACTTTGATAGCAAGTGTGTTTATTTATACTTGGGATGGGATCCGACTCACTTAACATTGTGCATATCTCACATAGTTGCTTAGTCCAGTCAAATCATCTAAGGTCCCTGCATGGTCAATTAAAAAAGGTAGGTTACTCTCTAGAGAAAGTGCTCTCTTAGTCATTGATACAGTAGATGATGATGTGCCCTCTAGAGAAACCTCCCTCTTCTCTCACAGCAGAGCAAGCACAGATTCCATCTTTCAAAGCAAGATAAATTCTGTATGGCTTACCTGAAACCCTCGATCACATTGCTTAGTTTCACTTGCAGTGTTATTATATCAAGACCTTAATCCTTTTATTTACTTAATCCTCCTCCTCATTGTACAACTTCTTCTGGATTACAAAGTCACGGGCTGGCATATACAATCTCTGTGCCTTGCAATGAACACCACCAACCACAAGAAAAAAAAAGTACTATTTCACGACTTTAAAACACCAGAGTGATTCTGTGGCACTGTAACTTAGTAACTATGACTATTACTTTTACCTATCAATATGTAAGAAAGATCAGTGTTCAAAGGAGAAGGAAAAAACTACCAAACTGTTAGTACTATGGTCGTGAAAATGTCTCGTAAAAGCACTTTCTCAGAATGACGAGGTTTTGCAGCAGGAAGGAAAAGGATAATACCAATTCAGAATTAAAATATTGGGAATCTATTTAGTAAAAAACATTTTAAATATTTTTCAGAACATTCTTAGAAACCAAAACATAGGGCTTGAAGAGTGGTTGTACACAGTCAATCTCAAGCACTTCGCTATCATTCAAAGTACACTTGAAATTTGGACTAAAAGCCAAAGCCTTTTAATCATGTTTTCAATCTCCTTAACTAAAAACAATTTGTACTCTGAGTATAGGATATACAGTGCACATCTACAAGAAAAGAGCCATTAGTGTATGCTTGCCTTCACCTGATTAATGAAATCAGGACGCTAGTGCCTCTGCATTCAGGGAGTTTTGCTGTACGGTTAGAGACAACAGGTAATAAAAAGCAGGTTCCTAAAAAAGTTTGTCCCTTAGCACTCCACTGAGGTAAAATAATTACACACACACACACCCCCAAATGATACCTACTTATGCTTCATATGAGGTGGTTTGAAAATGGGTATGGCAGTTTGCTTAAGCAAAGTGGACGAAACTTTCCTCCAAGCTGTTTCTGTGCAGTCTCATCAGTCCCAGTGCAGATTTTTGGTGTGGATAAGAAAGCAGCTTTGGCCTAAATCCTGTGTTTAGAAGCTGCATTCATCTGTAAAGGCAAATTCAGGTGAAAAAAAACAAGTCCAGCGCATGTTTCAGCACCTTTGGGTCAGAAGCCCTGAGGGGTGCCTCAGCCTGCGGTGGGGTGGCAAGCCCTCTGGCCATGCTGGGGAAAAAGTGAGCAGTGCCAGAGCACCTTCTAGGAGCTGCTTTCATCTTCACAAAGGTCATGCTCTGAAGTAGGCGGTCATGAAAAGACACTGCCTCGGGAGCCAGCTCAGGGAGGATTTACCTATGGGCATGTAACTATCTGAACTCAGGGCTTTGGAGTGGGTCTTGGAGACACAACCACTACTGGTCAGGTGGATCAGGCCATTGAATTGCTGCCTGGCAATATAGACCTTGTGTCCGATTTGGGGTTTTTTTGGCAGCTTTGGAAGAACACACTGCAGCCAGTTTAAAATGATGGTGAATTCTCCTCATTGGCCTGCACAGACTGAACCACCAAGAGGTGCCATCCATGGCCACATGGTTCTGCCTCTTCTCCTGCACTTCCTGTAGATCCTGTGGCAGAATATGGGTACAGGAGTTGGATCGTTACCCTGAGCAAACAAAATCCCAGCTCTACAGAGAAGTGCTTAGTTTTCAGTTGGACCAACAGTCTGACCTGACTGGCATCCCATGTGGGGCCAGCACAAGGAGGGAGGTGAGAAGAGGATTGCCCTTTTAGCTGCAGTCACAGGTTACTTTGGCTTCAGTTTACGTTAATGCCAGGAAACTCTGGAATCTGAGCACTGCAAGACAATGTCTTACCTGGCATAAAGCCTGACAGTGTGAAGCTAACCTTTTTGGCATTCTTAAACACATTTGAACCTGCAGACTGAATTGATCTCAGCTTAGGGCACTTTGTGCTGTAACCACGATATTTTTTATCTGGTACTAACAGCCAGTTCTAATATATTGTCAAATCACAACCTCAGTAAGCTGAACATGGCAGCAGTACAAGCTAGTGGTGCTAGATAGAAGGAAAATGCACAGCAGGCTGCCAGTATACATAAATTCAGCTAATAGTTTGCACACTGCATACATATATGCCTTTGAGGCACATAGGACCCAGTCACTTCAAGAGTAACAGCTTTTTTTCATTGCTGTAAAGCAGTAATTGTGTGACTCTCAACTATCCCCTTCCTGACAGTAAGATCCATTTATTTCTAGTTCAACCCAGGATTCAAACTGAGGGGTGCACATTGTAAGTGATTCTCTGAGCAATTGCTCTTTAAAGACATGCTCAGAAGAAATGTAAATTGCCATTGATCAGTAAGTATGACAACAGAGTCCCCTGCTGAGTTTCTGGTGGCAAAGTACTTTGATGCCTGTGTAGACTATTACCCACCTGCCCTCTGAATGCCTGAGCTGACACATCTGTTAGTTGGGCTCAGTCCCATTGTTAATTCAAGCTCCACAAATGGTTGCTTTCTTCCTTTAAATGTGGATTATTTTCCACGATTATTCTCAGTGGAATGGATTTGATCCGTTTGGAGGTTCAGGCTGGAGCTGAGATGGAGGGAGGAGAGATAGGTGGTGAGGAGCTCTGAGTCTTCCTCAGCTAGAGCCGGCAAGCACTGGGTCACCTCGCTCTTTGCAGCCATGTTCACAGGAGTGGTCCTTTTAGAAATGTTTCGGAGATAAGGAAAAAAACATCCTTTTAGCTACCTGAGACATTCACATTTGCATTTTGCTCTATTATGATGATGGTTTGTGTACAGTAAATAAGAAAAGCAGCCTACAAGTCAGAAGGAAATGTATCACTCAAGTGACAAAAAAAAGGAAACAATATTTCTCATTTTTTACTTCTGAACACTGTTGTAGGGAAATCAAAAGCAGGAGTGAAGGGAGAATTATAGGATCAAATTGTAGCCTTTGAATATGGGCGTTTGAAGATAGATACATAGCTACAGATATATCAATATGTAATTTTGCTCTTCATACCATTCTTTATCAAAATATGTGTAAAAAAACAGACAAATTTGGTTATATGTTTATGTGCCTTTCTAGACAGCTATAAGAAAATGCATCCCATGAGACTGCAGACTTTCTATATAATGAACTATCCGATCAGGAGACAAGAGAATTATATATTCTCTTACAAGTTCAAACAAGTTCAAACAAGAAAACACGCCTAAAACTGGCATGTAATAGTGATTGTAGTGGAGATATCTCCCCCACCTCACTTCTGTTGAAACTCATCTCTTATTGATCTACATCCACCCTTTCCGCAAGCAATGAAATTATAACCCATGCAGCCAGAATGTATCCTGTGGTTACAGGTGTTGCTGTTCCGTTGAAGTGTAACTTCAGGTACCCAGAGAGAAAGAAAGTACAACATGACTGAAGCAAAGGTAAAAAGAAGTTCTTTAAACTAATCCATCAATAGGCAACAACAGGTTTATGTCAAGAAGAAAGGCAAATAGTAAAAAAAAAACATAGTCAAAAGAAGCAGTTGCAGCTCACCAAAATCAGTGGCAACGCTTTCCAGTTCCCGCACACACAGTTAACCAAATAATCTCCTGACTCACACCATATTGTCCCACTTTCACATCTCACTGTACTTTCTACCTTGTTTCTTAATACCTTTCAAACTTTCTATAATCGACTAGGGAACACCATATATACTAGCATTAAATTATTTACAAGATAAAGACTCTTTTTACAGTTATTTTTTTCTAACTACTTAATTATTTCTTGTTCACTTCATTTCAGCTGTCCTGGGTATCCCCAAAGGTTGTATTTTTCTTTATTCAAAACCAATCTACAGAACAGATGAAAGTTCTTATAATAATCAAGTTTTATCAATAATCCCCTTTTCCTTGGCTGCATAAACTTTAATTGACATTTCAGAGTAAATATCAAATAATGAAGATCTAATTAAATATCGAGGATTTGAGGAATAGGAATAAATCTTTTTTTATTATTTTATTGCATTGCTTTTTGCTTTTGTAAACTCTTAGGGTGGTTGTTAATGCAGATAATCTGAGTAGGCTTTAGGTTCAATTACTCTACAGGCTGTACTAGTCTAAAGGAGGAGGTCTATTGTGATTGGAAAAAATGGCCAAAAAATTTGTATCAACACCGCCTTCCAGCTTGAGAAGCTGCAAATCCTCAGGTCTATAACAATTAGCTTTCAGGGATGTCATCTGGAAGAAATCATTTAGTAAAAACTAGGAGGAATTTGGAGCCAGTTTATTTTTTCCTTCTTACTGTAGAAAACCTTTCTGAATCAAATATTGATCAAAAATTCTCTGCTGAAGAGACTGTCTGTAGTTTTGCTTTGGCCCTAGAGATGTAGGAATGCACATGTTGCTTTCAAGATAAGTACTAACATTCTGCCCCTCTTCTGTCTACCTCTGTGTTCCCCCAGGTTACTAAGATGTTGGCTGTGGTGGTGGTCCTGTTTGCATTTCTGTGGATGCCCTACCGCACACTTGTGGTGGTCAACTCCTTTCTCTCCAGCCCCTTCCAAGAAAACTGGTTCCTGCTATTTTGCAGAATCTGTATTTATTTAAATAGTGCCATTAATCCTGTAATTTACAACCTTATGTCCCAGAAATTCAGAGCAGCCTTCAGGAAACTCTGCAACTGCCAGCAGAAACGGGACAAGAAACCGGCCAACTACGGTGTGGCCCTAAATTATAACGTCATCAAAGAGTCTGATCACTTCAGCACTGAACTAGAAGATATTACCATCACGAATACCTATCTGTCCTCTGCAAAATTGTCCCTTGGTGATACGTGTTTGTCATCTGAGGTAACAGTTAATACATTTTAATGTTTGGTGTATAGTCCTCCTGAACCAGAGCATGTTCATATGCACGGGGCTGTGCTGGAATAGCTTTCAGCTGGGGCAGCACAGCGGAGGACCAGGGAAGGCTGGTAGTGATAGACAATACACCACCAAACAGGGCATGGTGGGGAGGGAGAGTTGCCCAGCTCTGGAAAGTGATGGTCTCAAAGTGCCTTGTGCCAACCATGTGAGCTGGTTAAACCTTACTCCCTGAGGAGAAGAGGGCAATGGTGGAGCATCAGAGAGTGGTGCTTGGGCATGGTGCCTCATGTACATGTCTGGCAGGGGGGTGGGCATTGGTGTCTGAGCTGAGAGATGCGTCCCAGGCGTGTTCTGGCTGCCAGCAGGAGGGCAATGGGGCGTTTGCTTGTCCCTCAGCCCCTGGCTCCAGATTGGGGTTAACTAACCCAGTGCCACCATGCACCTGGTGCTAAGAGAAGATATGGATTCACCCACAACAGCACTCTGGTGCTGAAAGTGCTGAAAGCCACATCCTTTTCCGCGCTACCTGCACCATCCCTGTGTGTAGCACCTCTCCCTAACTCAGCTCTGTTCTAAGTGGTGATGCACGTTACTTTCATGGTGCTTTTTTACACAGTACTGCTTAAATGCTGTTCATAAATTTGTATACCTTAGGTCTTACAACATAGAAGAGCCACAGAGAAGCTTAGTTTTCCATTTCCTTTTGTAGATGATATGAAAATGAAAATGAGTTCTTTCTCAGTTTCGTTCTTCTCTCCTAACTTTCAGGCGTGAGGCCCACCTTGTTCTGGGTATGCAGTCATATAAAACCTTTGGATGCTCTGTTCCCACCAACCTATATCAAATGTAAAAGCATTTCTGCTCGCAGAATTGCAGGAGTTACCATATATCTCTACAAACCCGTCTGTGTCCTACAAGAAAAAGTAGCCTCTTGGGGAGTGAAAAAGAATATATACTACTAACTGAACGAAGCACTTAACACAACATAACTTTAAGCAGGTGAGTTGACTTCAGAGGAATGCCCAAGTCCTTCATCTCACATATTGGCCCAACAGCAGTCTGCGCTCTCAGAAAGGTCAAAGCTGCCCAGGACCTCTCCACGGACGCAGAGCGGGACAGTGGATGATGCTCCTAGTGAAGGTGAGAGGCAAGGAGAGGAGCTGCCCTCCTGCGCTGCTGCTGCCTGTCCTGAGAGCAGTGGCACCGCACTGGGCAGTTCCAGCAGGGTCCGTCCGACAGCAGCCAGAACCGCTGCCAGCTACAATAATTACCCACCATTGACTCCCTCATCCCACAGCAGTGCAAATCTAATTGCAGGCATCATAACATGCTTCAATAAGCAGATATCTGATGGCAAAGAACACAAAATCTCTTTTTTTTTTTTTTTCTTTCACCTTGAACGGCATGAAATTGGAAGACCATTCAATGAATTCACAGCAGGGAATAAACAAATTAAAAAGTCAGTAGGAAGCTATATAAAAATCACATTTTTTTCAGCAAGCTAGTTTATAGATGTGCCACTTTAAATTTAAGTCTCAGCTAATACTAAATCCTGTCTGAACTTGACATGTATTGAAGAGTATTGGACAGGCTTTTATTAGTTAATTTTCTCTTGGTTCAATAGTAATTTTATCTCAGACCGCTGTAGGGGGCTTAAAGCTTCAATATAGATAATATCTAGGGAAAAGAGGAAAATTGAGTGAAAAACATAACTTTTTAAATTTTTCATCTCAAAGGTTATCCATTCAAATACTTCAGGACATAAAACAGTGTTTTGAAAGATTGATCAGCTGTATATTTGGTTGGAAAGAGAAAATACAGTGAAAGCAGTGCTACCATTTCTTCATTTTTCTATTTCACTGTAATATTCCCTTTACATGATAACCTTTAGCACGAGTTTAGATAATCTGGAGCCAGAGACAAAAAAATTATGTTATAAAAGACCAGTTTCTAGGCTGTGCTCACCCTCCTCGCTCTGGCTGCAGCGGAGGTTACCGAGCTCCACAGCTCATCCCTGTTCTGGGCAAGAAGTCACCTTGGCTTCTCATTTGCAAGCACAGCCGCTTCCCTGCTCTTTGCTTGCCGGTGACAAGCATCCTGGGGCCACCGTCTCCCCACTTGCAGTCTGAACTCAGTGTGTAACTTCGGCTTTGCTCTAGACCAGCTTGTGTTCTTGCTAGAACTATATTTTCCCATTCCTGGGTAGCGGTAACAGAAACTGGGGAAGACACCTGCGTGTTCTTGTTCATTGTGAATATTTTGCACAGCTTTTGTACATGACATTAAAAAAGCTGCAAAAAATAATTGTTCTAGTAAAAATCCCGTCCAGTGTGGGATGACAGGCAGCCTCACTAGCACTGTAAGGCTTTCCTATCCAGTTTCTCTTTGCATGTACAGACAATTCCCCAATTCAAATAACTTTCACTTACATTCAGCTGTATCTGCAAACTTAAAGAGAACTAAAAATACTCTGATAGCTCTTAGATTTAAATTTCAATATGAACCCATGTCTGCTGCATCCCAAAGCCTCCATTTGACATTTTTTGGGTGGCAAGGAGGAAGGACATGGTCCGTATCCTGCTCTGTTTCCATCCTTGCTTTAGCATCTGTTTTAAACTTGCAGAGGTCCCCAGGTACTTTCTGCCTCAGCAGAGTGATGGCAGGGCACGCAGGTCACCAGCAGCAGGAGGTTTTCAGCCAGCAGTACAGACATGGCAAACTTACTCCAGAAAGCCCTTTCTGTCTTTTATTTCCATCAGCACTTTGCCTTTTCATTTTGGCAAGCAGAGGGGGCCAGACCCTGGGGGTTTCCTGCTTCCTGAGAGTTTTACCTCGAATCATGGGGTCGGTGTTAAGACCAGGCAGCCCACCGGACTGGAGGCAGGCTGGACGATGGACTCTCTCCTCTGAGGCATAGAGCAGGCAGAGCGTGGGCTGGAGCAGAGCCGGCAGCTGAACCCGCAAGGGCTGTGCTGCAAAGTTTTCTAAATCCTCTGCTTTGGGACCCACATAACTGGAAAGGGGATGTCCAGACTCTTTGCTGATTTGCCTGGAGAAGAGAAGGCTCTGAGGAGATCTTATTGCGGCCTTCCAGTATCTGAAGGGGGCCTACAGGAGAGCTGGGGAAGAACTTTTTACTAGGCCATGTAGTGAGAGGACGAGGGGGAATGGCTTTAAACTGGAAGAGGGCAGGTTTAGATTAGATATTAGGAAGAAGTTTTTCACTTTGAGGGTTGTAAGGCACTGGCACAGGTTGCCCAGAGAGGTTGTTGAGGCCCCATCCCTGGAGGTGTTCAAGGCCAGGCTGGACGTGGCCCGGGGCAACCTGGTCTAGTGGGAGGTGCCCCTGCCTATGGCAGGGGGGTTGGAACTCGATGATCTTCAAGGTCCTTTCCAACCTAGACCATTCTATGATTCTATGACTCTATGATTTTAAAATAATAAGGAAAAAAATAAAATGACAAAGTAAGTCACGTGGCAGCCATGCAGGCAAAGCTGACCAGGGTTCACACGTCCAGAGAGAAAAATACCAATGTTACTCTAGAGGGAGCACTGAGCAATCTTATCTCATAAATGCAATACTATAGCAGTGACATACACCCTGAACAAACCTTTCCTTTGAACAGCTTGATGTGAAATTTCAGTCCTATGGCATTTTACTGCTCGTGAAATTTCAGTTCTACAGTATTTTACTGCTCACACTTGCTTAAAGCTACAGTTTGCCACCATAAGGAGAAGTCAAGGAGAGGTATCACAACCTGTATAATGTTTCCTCCAAAGCATCTGTCACAGTAAAATGCAATTATCTGGTAAATCTTACACAGGCATTTATATTTACTTAGCCAAGAAACATATTCAAAGTGAAAGCAAGTTCCTCTATCTGACTGAGCAAAGCCTTCGCGTGCAGTCAGCCATCTCTGCTCGCAGCTGATCGAAGCTGATCCCTGGGTTGATAGTGGAGGGAGAGGGTATGGAGACAGTTACTGGTGGAGCCAGCACTGGGAAATCCTTTCCCTCTCCAAACGCTGTTGTCAGCAAGGCATCTATCCAGTGCTTTCAGGCCAGGCCCTACCTCCCAGACTTTCTAAAAAAGTGCCAGAAGTCCTTTTTTTACTTAAAAAGCAAGCAGACCTCCAGGACAAGCAGCAGGCAAAGAACACATGCCACAGAAGACTGGTTATACTGCTGGGAGCACAACTGGCTGGGCTAAGAACTGAGAGAAGTATTTGTGTAAGAACAGTAATACAAACTTACGCTTTTATCTTGACCCTTTTCAGAGTACAGACTGAACTACAACTCTCATAGACTGATAATATCAGAAGTAAATTTTTTCCTTTATTTGCCTTTTTGCTCAAAAAGTAACTTTCTGCTTTCTCAGCCTCTGTCTCCGTAGTTCTTTTTGTTTGTTTGTTTTCAGAGGCTCAGGTGAGGTATTTAAGCCCATATTCTTACTGAGGTTTCATCAAGGGCTAAAATCTATGTATGTGATTTTGTATGCACCACCATGTGGAATAACAAATGAAAAGGAATTATTTCATGCTGATTTCTTTGGGCAAACAGAAATGTTTATGCATGCGAAATTGTGTGCACAAATGCAATATCTAAAATTGCAGATTTAAGTTAAGGTGTGATTTTAACTCATAATGTGCTGTGACTGTGTCTTTATAGATGTTATTCATGAAATCCATGCTAATTTTATACTGATTCTTACAGCTAACACTATGAAACTTTGCTAGGTATTTTGCTAATGTGATTTTAGATCTATTTCTGTGTTTGCCCGTCTGTTTATAACAGCAACTAATCTTTTTTTTTGGTACATAGATGTGGTAGATTAGATATGTGGGCATGTATTTATTTAAAAAATTGTGTGATTTTAAGCTTTTTGATAATATAGCAAACTTTTTTGCTAGAAGTGAAAGTGACTGGATGTTAGCTACTGACTGCAGTAATATAACTATCTTTATACACTTATTTTGTGGATA